ATCGAGTTCTCTCTCATGAGCTCTTTCATTTGGTCAAGAGCCTCTTCAACAGATGAGTCCATCTTGAAATCCAGTTTTGCTTTGCAAGACCTAATTTTGAGACAATAGTTGAGTTCCCTCCACTCCTGGATTGACTGTCTCAGTTGAATGTTTGACCTGTACGAGGAATCTTCAAGAATTTTGCCCGTCTCTGGATCGTTTTTTTTCCCACTCTCGAACCAGTCTTCAAGAGCTGCTCTTTCACATGCAGTACCCGTGCAGAGGCTAACAGGATCGACCATAACAGTTCCAGTTATGCAACAAGTGAAAGCTTTAAATGGCTGGATGTATTCTTCTCTGGAGTCGTATCGCTCTATGACTTTGAGTCTCTGGAAATACTGGTTCCTAACTTCCTCATAATCTCGGGCGGCATCTGCTCGAGAGAGCAACTCGATGACCTGCTCTAAGAACAGAACTTCAGCTCTTTCTTTCCTGTTGGCAGCTTCTTCTTTTTCTCTTTTGAAGTTCTCTAGCTCTCGACTTATCTCTTTGACCTCGACTGGAACTCCAACCGCCCTAGCTATTTCCTCAAGCATGTCATTCGCAAACTCCTTGTCAAATGTTTGATCTGAAAGACCCTGATTTAACTTGTCAACAATTTCAAGTCTAGAATGCGATGCTTCAAATTCAGCCCTTTGCATCTCGGTTTGTAACCTGTTCACCTGGTCTGATATTCCCGATAAAACTTCTATATTCACAAGGGATAGAGCTGCCAAAGACTTTCCAATATCTCTTGTAACATCCTGTATTTCCTTGACAATGTGCCTACACTTAACTAGTAAGTAGAAACGTGCTCGATCTTTGTACTTCTCAACCAGGTTATTGGCTTTTTTGATATCACTTTCAAGAGATTCCAAAGCTTGCCTTGCAACTGGTGAATCATTCAACTGCTTCAACTGCAATTCTTTTAAGACGGGCTCAATGTCAAGAAGATGCTTTCCTAAAACCTTAAAACTCTCTTTTTCAAACACAACATCATTTGCAGCCTGGGCTGTTTTAATGATTTGGTTGGAAACTACAGCCAATATAGTTCCAATTGGTATCAGTTCTGCCATCACAGTAAATATGTACGAATCCTTATCCAAATCAGAAGGTGGGTTCTTTTCTTGATCAGTCGATAAAGCTCATGTTTCTTCTTTGTTCAATATATTTTCAGACCCTTTCGCGATATTGAACAAGACATCAAGGAAACCTATAGCAGAGAGAGCTTCAGTTTATGTTCATTCAAGAGATTTTTCGAGCAAAAGATTGGGAAAACAAAAACACAGCAATGGAAAACTATAAATCATCTCCATTACTAGAATCAAGGTAAGCAAATGTCTCAAACACTAAAGAAGTACACTATTATTATATACCCCTTTTAAACGACCATCTAGTTTTCAATTAATTTATACACATAATAAAAGTAACTCAAATGTAAGCCAAAGCAAATTTAACACAAATCGAATTAAATACATCTAATTAAAAAGCACCCATGTCAGAAATGAACAAAATAATATTAAAACAATACTAATAAATTTATGGCTTGTTTGGGTGGTGGCTTTGATGGGACAACATCAGCAAGAAAATGAAACTGAATTCTTACCCATTGTATTGTCCAGGAATGATCCCATTAGGGTGTTCCAAACATGTACCAAGTGTAAGTTATGGTTACCACAATATTGCTTTTCATTACAGATCCATGGCACAGAGAATATATCCAGAAAAAGAAGATGAGGAAATAATATACAGACAATATTAATATAGAAATAGAAATTCCCCAGCTAAAGACCAAATAAACTTATTTCTTCCCTCTTCAATGCAATCAAGAAAATTCAAGAAATCATAAACCAATAAAATTACAGAAAAACGGTCGGAATTTAAATGAATTAAATTTCATGAAAATCACCAGAATTGCCGTTTGATTACAGTAAAATTCATTCTGCACTTGTGAATCTTCCCTTCATTTTCTTTGAAGAAAATTCATATATATGGTGACCTATGCATATAATTTTAAATTTTGTGAGGTTTTTCCTGGAAATTTTTGCATGGGCAATCAAGCAGAGAAAGAAACAGAGTTTTTTATTTTTATTATGCTTATGCAATTTTCCGGGAAATGCTTTCTTGATTTTTTTAAAAATTTTTATTGCTATTTTCTCCTGAGAGTTGACTTGAGAGTTTATAGTTGACGACTTGAGACAGCAAGAAATTTCTTTGATAAAGTCCATGTGAAACTATTTTATTTTCCCCTGTCCACGTGATTTGGAAAGAGAGCTAGCAAGAAAAACAAAATGCACCATTTTTTTATTTTTTCTTTTTGAAGAATCAAAATGGAAAACAACCTTTTGGGAAGTGATAAGATTTATCTATCATATCCATCAAATCCGACTATTGCAATACGATGGATTCGAGATTGGCTGAATCCATTTGTACAGAAATGGACTTTACAGAATCAATACAGAAATCTCATAAGATAGATCCCATATGAATAAAATAATACCCAAAAAAAAAAAAAAAATCAACTCCTCGTGTCTTATCTGGAGGGGTCACATAACCCCTCCTTCTACATGAAGAAGTACTCTTTCAAGATTATGATAAAGAAAAAAAAAAAAGGAACAAAGTGTCTTACCCTCTAATATTCATTATTTATCATAGTACATTAACTTAGAAGACGAAAACTAAAAGACAACAAAAAAATACAAAAACTGGTGCAATACATATGCTTTTAGAACAATATTTAAATTGCAATTTGCGATTCCATAAAAGATCAAACTGGCAGACCCATAACTCACCTTATGAAAGAAAATCTCCAATTTTTCATTTACATAAAATTTACATGTAAGTTAGCTAGAAGTTATATCTTTGAAGATTCAGAGACCAAGCTTACGTTTGGAAGATATTTTAGGAAATTAAAAGTTAATTTTATTAATCAAAATCAAATTTTAATTTCGACCACACACTCAAAATTAATAATTATTATCCACATATTGCGTGATTTCCCATCACTATTTCTCTTAAAAAGTTATCCACTCTCGTGTGAAAATAAATAAATAAATAGAGAAGAAGAAAAGCAACATTATTTTACATTTCCATATTTTCTTCCAAAAAAATGGAATGTCTTTTACTTGATAAAGTTCAAAAGGTCGAAGATCGAATAGCCAGCTTGTCTATAAAACAACAAGCAGCAGCAGCAGCATCTAAACATTGTTTCCAAAAGCTTTAGTTCAACTACATGCATCATTTATCCCACTTGGTCTGCTATTTCTTTTCAAATGTGTCGTACTTAATGCAACAACAATCACAGTTGTAAGTACCTACTACGTTGCCACACACATCACGTTCGAGGGGCATAGCATGCACATGACAAGGTTCAATGCCCACATTTTGCTCGTCCCCTTAAGCACCACGCACACAAGCAACCACGATCCCAAGCTAACATAAGCCACAAGCTTTGAACTTTGGCCAAATTTTTAACCAACCGAGATTCTGCCATCGCACATTGACAAGAAGCCTGTATTGGCAAGGGAGCAAAACATGCCCCTAATTGCATCAATAAGACATGTCCAACCAACCAAGATTTTTATCGTGTTTAAGGTGATCCCAAGTGCGACAAACAAATTACTAATAACCAACCAACTACTACTAGAGGCATATGTCAAGTATTGGAGTGGACAGAGTTATAGTCAGCTTACTAAGTTATATCATAATTCAGATATAAGCCTCTTCCAGGAACAGAATGTCAATCTGCCAAGACCAAACAAAGCGTAAGACTCAACAAAAACTTTCTTCTTTCCCACTTTAAACAACAATCAATTCATTTAAGTAACATAATTTCACGAACATGTCAAAACAAACACTTACGAGAAATGTAATATTGAAAGAGATCCATCCATATTAAAGGGAGAAGAAATGGAAATCTCAACTTCAAAAGAAAAGGTTAAATTCTATAACCATTAATATCAGTAAAAGATATCATACAACTTCAATTTCATAATATAATGTTAGGGTTAAGAAAATCAAAGTTGCGGTCTTGAGACGTTACACAACAGAAAAACCCATTTCAGAATAGGAATATGAGATTTCACACATAAATTTCCGATCACACTAACAACCTTCTTGGTAGAGAGAATTGAATTGTAACATTTATTTCTTGAGCTTGCTAAATCACAACACATTTACCAAAAGAGATAGCAGACAACCAAATCCATGGAATACTTTTGTGCTTTTATTAACTGCTATTCTACCATAAGGCAAGATATAGATAAAAGGTATAAGCTTGCTGTTGAAAGGAAGAAAATTGTAACCTCAATTGTCTCATCTAAAAGTTTAAGCTAACCTCAACTGTCTCATCTAAAAGCTTAAACTATCAAAGATATACTTCAATATAACCCCTCAAGTGCAGGGTGAAATCATTTTTGTTTTCCATCAAATCCAGTCACAATTTTCCTATATGGCAGGCGGCAAGATTTGATTGCAGGATTTTACCCACTCTATTACCTTGTTGAATTACTTCATCTAAAAGCGGTCTTGATAACACATTTTTTCAGCTAGAACCCCATCAAACCTTATCTAGTGTACATCCACCCATTGTTCACCTTCCCATGGACCAAATTCCTACTGCCACATTTACTACACCAGACCTATTATGGCGTCAATAAGTATGAGTGCAATTACTATTCCACCAATCAACAGCTAATAAAGGCATGCAAGCAATTGGGTTGATAGTGACAGATTAGAAATTATATTCTAAAAAAAGTTGGTAAAAATATCATACATTTCATCTTAAAAATTTTAACAGTATTCTAGTGAACCATTGATACGAAAGAAGATAATCAAAGTGGCAAGCATGAAGTGCACAAAGCAGAAGAACACTTTGCAAGAAGACACCTAAATCTTTCTAATACACCAACCAAAATTATAAGTAGAGTGAACATTAATATCATTTTCTTTTCATTTCTATTTTACAGAAGAGACCAAGGGAGTAAAAGAAACATAACATTATATCATTACTCACAAAAAAGATGTACAGATAACATGGTTGTCACTGTACACTTCTGGAATGTTTAGTAGAGGTGATTGGATAGTAATGGACAGTAAGAAAGAAACTAAGCTAAAATTTATTGATTATACTATTTAGTCCTATCTACTTCTATTACTAAGTACAAAACATGCACTTTCAAGTTTTTCAAGGCCACAGCAATTACATCTCAAAGCTACATGCGTTACTTATGACCCAATGATAAAATTACTGTCTCTCTCTCTTGCGAGCTAATTCCCTTGCCATCTCCCTCATTTCCTCGGGTGACGGAGGCCGTGGTGCTTCAGGTGGGTATACAACATACTGACGCTGTACAATATAACAAAAACATAATTCACTTTAGAAGGCATATCAAAGAGATAAATTGTATTGTGTTTAATAAATCTAATTTATATCACGATCAAATTCCATATTAATAATATAAACTTGACACCTTCCTATGAGATATGCAGTATTCAAACATCCCAATTAGTGATACAATCTGCAAAGCCAAATTTGCTGCTAAACACTCGGACTAATTTTCCTATTTTAGTAATACAAGTTGTGCATTGATTGTTACATATTACTTTAAGTATTCGGAAGTGCTTCTTTCAATAAATACATATTTTAAAAATAATAATTACGCTACATGTATAGGGCTTTTGCCAAATAGTTTGACAAATTGCCAACAGGCACAATTTTATTGGATGTTGAACAAAAACAAAATTCAAACCAGCCAATCCAATACTGCCACCTCATTATCTGTAAAAATTCCTGTACATGTCATCTGTATAAGGAGCTTAATACTAAAAATAATTAACAGCCTCTTCATGTTTATAAGTACTCTAGATTGGATTCTTTAATAGATCTAGCAATGAAGGCGAAAAAGAATTCATCTAGCCGGCCGCAAATCAATTGGGAGAAAAGCTTAATTTGTAATTTTTTTCACTCATAAATATTTCAAACCTTATTAAATGTTCTCCCACATAGAAATTCTCTTACTATTATGTTTCTTCCCGTGATCCCAAAAAGAAAAGGGGCAATCGACTGACCTTATACAATCTCGATTCTGGAACAACTAAAAACTAAATACCTATCTTGTTTCTTTTATTGTCACCTTCACCATTCAATTTTTACAGTGTTTAATCTACATTCAACCAAAGAAAAATAAAAATGATAAAATGTTCAAACCAATTTAGCATTTGATCTTGTTCAATTTAATTCCAATTACACGATTGCCCGTACAATTAATCGCTTACATTCGCAAACTAAAAGGCACTTTGTCAAATTAACTTGAAAATATTCTCAACTATTTCCAGTATTATAAAATCAACAAATACAATATACTTACGTATATACATATACATAAACAAATAAGTTCTTACATTGTTGATGACTTTCTGCAGATTCCCGGTGTTATTGGCAAAGAAATACATGAGGCCAATTGGGACACTCACGTAAACTGCGAACTTTGCAATCTCCAAAATTTCCTTCGAAGTCCCCAGAGAAGTCATTTTTTGTTTATAATTTGCTTTTTCCTGTACGAATTGATTCGAAAAACCTCTGCAGAGGGCTATGAACAAAACCTATGGAAGAGGGGACGAACTCTTATGAGATACGTGGGAAGTTTTTGTCCAATCAAGCTGATGAATGGGCTGGGCCAGTTTATGTGAGATTAAAGGAATTTGACAAAAATGGCATGACATTGGTAGTATAATTATTTTCAGGGCAAGCTGTTCGTGTTTAAAAGTTATTCATTAATACATTTGTAGACATAAAAAATAAAATAAAATAAATGGACTTGATCGATTTAAATCACTAGTCCAATTAAATATTAAGTCTATTAAAATCCATAAAATTCAAGGACCCATTCCACATTTTAAATAAATAAATAAAATCATAATTACTCAATTATTCATTTTAATTAAATATAGTTGAGTATTACCAAATTTAGCATGGAAATTCCCCTATAAATAGGAGCAATGATCCATAAGATAACGAGAGGTGAAAGCTGAAGCAAGAAAGAAAGCAGAAAATACAATCACGAAGTGATGAAGAAATTTCAAGGCCGGAGAAAGAGAAGAAATCCTTTCAAACCTAAACTCGTTGAACCCTAAGAAGATTAAAATCTTCTTCGAATCACACAGGTTCACGCCAAGTCCAAGAAGATCAAAGTCTTCTTCAAATCAAATCAAATTCAAGTCCAAGTCCAAGTCTCAAGATTCAAATTCCGAACAAGTCAAGTCTCAACAAATCAAATTTTCAACAAATTCTCAAAAATAAGGTTCAAGCCACGTGGCCCTGCGTCTTCAAATTATCAAATCATTAATCAAAGGATTTTTACAATATTGCAATTATAAGAAGGTCAACATTATTTGTATTTCTCAAAATATAATTTGTAACGATTTCTGTATTTTAATACACGAAATTTCATCGTACAAATTTCTTGGCATTTTCGGTGGGACCTTCTTGTCCTCTCATCTTTTGATCTCAAAATCTTCAAGTTTTAACTACTACATCAGTAATGGCAGGCGAAAAGGCGAAACAAACTATGACTCATCTTGAAAAGACACTTGCCAAACTCTTCCACGCGACCAGGGCCCAAACAAAAACTGGTAAAACTCAACTGGCCACACCATTGAAGAAGTTCTCCAACAAAGGCAAAATGAAAATTGTCTTCAAGAAGCCAAACTCTTATTCAATAGAAAAACCATGAGTTTAGTGAAAAGTTCTTGTTCGAGCTCCATCTTCAATGACAGATATTTATCTGGATCCCCTCATACCACTTTTCAGCAAAAGTGGGAAGATGATGCCTTATCTGGAGAATCACTTGAGCCAATGATGGTCACAGAAGCGGCATCAGACTCAGATGATCGAATTCAACAAATGGCCTCAGCCATTAACAAAGTCGTTTGAAGATAAAGATGCACGGATTGCTGCATTCATACACAGGTTAGAGTCTCAAAATCCACCAGTTAAAGAAGATCGAGAAAATTCAGAATCTTCCAAGGCCAAAGAGTTAGAAGTCCAAGAGTGTCAACAAAGTAAGATATGCACGATCGGACAGTTGTTCAAAACGTGTTGCATGGCACCACTCAACTCTCCATTAGCGCTCTATCCATCCAACAACTTCAACATATGATTGCAGACACCATTCGTGCCCAGTATGGTGGTTCATTGCAATCTTCACTGGTGTATGCCAAGCCCTATAGTCATCAAATCGACGAAATAAAAATGCCACTCAGTTATCAACCTTCTAAATTTCAATGTTTTGATAGAAATGGCAATTCAAAGCAACATGTTGCTCATTTTATTGAGACGTGTAACAATGCAGGTACTTACAATGACACTATGGTGAAGCAGTTCATACGCTCCCTCAAAAGTTCTGCATTTGAATGGTACTTACCGGCAGGGTCAATTTATAGTTGGGATCAACTCGAATGAGAGTTCCTAACACGCTTCTATAGCACTCGACGAGCTGTCAGCCTTTCAGAACTTGCTCGAACAAAGAAAGGTAAAGAATAGCCTATTGTGGAGTACATTGAACGATGGAGGAACTTCTTGCTTAATTGCAAAGAACGAATAAGTGAAGCATCTTCCATCGACATGTGTGTACAAGGTATGTAATAGGGATTACTCTATAATTTCCAAGCAAATATGCCTCATTCATTTGAAGAATTGGCGACACGTGCTCATGATCTGGAGCTCCAAATTGCAAGACATGGGAGTTACTTATCAAGTGATCCATGTGACAAGAAAGATCCTAAGAAAGAGATAAAGAAGGATGCCAAGGCAAGTAAGTCCAAAGAAGCTATGACGATTTCAACTGTTCCTGCAAAGATAGCCTTCCAGGGGTCGAGCTTGAACTCAAAACTGAAGCCAAAGTTCAGACCTAACAAAGGATAAGTCCAAAGTAGAGGTCACGTGACTCTAAAGGAACTTGAAGGAAAGGAGTACCCATCCTCAGATTCAGAAGTTTCTAAAGTTCTGGATCAGCTCCTTGAGCAGAAGATAATTGAACTCCCAGTACCAAAAAGACCTGAGAAAGCTAGTAAGATCGATCATCCTAAATACTGTAAATTTCACAGGATCATTAGCCATGTAGTGGAAAAATGTTTTTGTCTTGAAAAAAGATCTTATTGTTCGTCTGGACAAAGAAAATAAGATCAAACTTGAAACTGGAGAAAATCCAACAGCCACCTGCTCGATGGTTTCGTTTGGATCATTTGATCCAATTCCTATTGCAGGGAGGAAACGAACATTTTCTGATGTACACAATGCCTGTAAAGTCTCGGTTAAAGAGTTTGGACCTCAACTTCTGGAAGGAGCCATCCCATTGAAGTTTGAGATAGACAGAAAAATCACTATCAGTTACATCTATTTGGGGATGGATAGATCAAATGCACCCAATCGTCCAACCTTTTATGAAATTATGACAGGTGACTTGGATGTTTGGAATTCTTACTCAAAATCTGAAGACGAGATCGATGACGGCTAGTCCACCTTCATAAAAAAGAAAGAGAAATACTGAATGTCAAACAAAACGGGTAAAATATTACCTTCTACACCTCTTGCAGGAACAGAGATGGGGGAATTGGGTACAAAAATTCAACCCAATAAAGAGGAAACATTATAAGAAGATCAGAGGACATGGACCTTTGTGAAAAGACGTCGCCGAATGGCTCCACACTTCCTAAGTTCTGGTATTTATGATAAGAAATCAAGACCAAGAAACGACCAAAGAAGAAGGTCTAAAGCCAAATCAAGAGGATTCACTAAATCGAGAGGGGTAAAAGTTACTTCAAGCATTCTTCCAAACTGCCGACCTTGGGTGATTATTTTTCCAAGGGTTTCTTTGACAATAAATGTTTTACCTTCAAGGTCATCAATGTGGAGAAGAAAAATGAGATGAAAAATGCATCCGGACAGATTTCAAAATAGAAGAAAACTATCTTACGGCTCAATAATATTCCTGCCAATACGAGTCTAGCAGAGTCTTTTAGTCTTCCTTTCGATGATCGAATAGCTTTGGTCGCAATGTTAATCAATCTAGAAGAATACGAAGGTGAAGTTTTAGAACATATTGGATCCACAACTCATCAAAACTGTATGGCCGTCATAACATTCAACGATGAAGATTTATAGCTGGGTTCTCGTCCACATAATAGGCCACTGTATGTTAGCAGTTATATTCGAGGATACAAGATAAATCGCATAATGATTGATTGTAGATCTACTGTGAATATTATGCCGGTCAAAATAATGAAGAATGTTGGAATTAATGTTGGTAATCTGTCCAGAAGCAAAATTATGATTCAAGGATTTAGTCAGAAAGGTCAGTGAGCTATTAGCATGATTCGCTTGAAGCTGTAAATAGGAGAGTTAATCTCCTCAGCTATCTTTCATGTCATTGGTGCTAAAATATCATACGAGTTACTCCTTAGACGTTTTTTGCCACATGAAACTAGAGTGGTACCTTCCAATTGACACCAATGTTTCAAATATAGCCGAGATGGAGAAGTTAAATCGTGGTAGCTAAGTTTAAATCATTCCCTGAAGAAGAATCCCATTTTGCTGATGCCAAACTTTACATGGAAGATGAAGAGTGTAATTCTGCAGGGTTGACCATGTCTGGATTTAAAATCAAAGAAGATGCAAATGATCAAGATACGTCTAGTGCTACTCAATCTCATCAACTGATCAAATGCAAGTCAAAATTTACATCCAAAGGATTCTCTAAAGGCAAAAAATCTCAAATAGAATCAACCGATATTGAGATATTGAGAAAGGAGTTAACTCTTCCAATACCTAGTATTCCTAAATTGCTTCTGCCCTATCAACTCATGGCAGTCCGAGAGAAATGTAAACCCACATTAGAGGCTTCGACATCTATTCGAGACATTATCAAAGCTTTGTATTTCTAGCTCGTCCAAACGAGAAGAAACTATTGAATCAAAATAGACTTTCAAAGGATGTTACAATTTTTAAGTCAAAAAGTTGTTTGAAAATACGTGGTTTGGAAAAGGAGAGCCTCGAAAATTAGGTGATCTTGATGCTGTCCTTTCAGGAGGGCGTGTCCTTTCTAATTCTGATGGAGCCTTAGTGTCCAGACCCATGTATGATTTTGGATATGATCCTAATCCACCGAGGAAGATTAAGGTCAAGAAGGTTTCCTCAAACCCCATCTTGGTTCAAATTTATGAAGTTGTAGAAGAGAAATCAGAATAGTCCAGACCTTCAATGTTCAATCGAATTAAAAATGAGAATGTCAGAGTTTCGGTGTTTAGAAGTTTGAAAGGAGATCCCTCCCCAGTGGTCAACATAAAAGGTAAAGTCTCTGTCTTCCAACAAGTAAGTTAAAATTCTTCTTCTTCTACCCAAATTGATAGGAATGCACAAGCTCCCCATATGTCATTACAAAGACAATCTTCATTTTCTCGACTTAGGATTAAAACTTCTGATCTAAGTCTGAAACCATAACGGTCAAGAAGAAGACGAAGACATCAAAAAGTTCGTCCGTCTATACATGGTAATGAAGATAAGGAAGAAGTCTCTGTCAATGACATATTTAAAAGTTATGTTGCAACTGATGAGCCTGAACCAGCCCCACC